TGAGGCTCATGCAGGGCCCTGACATACGCCCTTCGCTTGCCAGCAGAACCCAACCAGTGCAACCATGCCAAGGAACAGGCCCTCACTGCTCACCCCCATAACCCTGTGACCCGAGAACTCCCTGGCTCTCCAAATAAGTCCTTGACACTGAGGGAACCTTGGTAGCAGACAGCAGGGCATGCCAACCCAGGCCCAGGCAGAGGGCAGGTACTGGGAAACCATACATAGGGAGACTGTGAGGCCTCTCAAAGCATTCCAGAGGGACTTTTGCCAAGGCGCTCCCGACTTACCTGCATGGGGGACTTGGCATAGTTGTGATTGTCTAGGAAGGCTGGCAGCCGCTGTACAATGGGGGTGGGGTTGGGGGGAACCCCATTGAGGCTGCTCCCCGAAGGCTTCACCACCAGCTTGGGTTTGCCAGGAGGGCTGTGGGCTGGGGCCTGTGGGCATGAGCCAGCCACCTCCTCTGCACTGTCTGAGACAGGATGAGAGGCACAGATAAGATCTTCACTGGGATCCCCAACCTGTGTCCCTGGTCCTGTGACACAGTACTGTGCCCCACCCTTTTCCCTTCCTAGGGAGCCGCTGCATCAGCTCTAAGTCAAGGTCCCCCAGCAAGACAAGGAAAAGAAAGGGGGGGGGGGCGAGTAGGGAGGTGAAAAGAAAGAAAAAGACTTCTTGAGAAAAGCAAGGACCTGTGTAGTACACAGCAGGGCTCAGGGATGCAGAAGGGCAGATGCTTCCAGGTGCCCCTCCTTAGGGCACACTCTACGTTCCCCTCCACCCCCTGCGTCCAAGCTACAAGGGGTAGCCCTGAGGTCCCAGAGGCAACCCCTAGTACCTGTGTGGGTGCCATCAGTGGATGCCAGGGCCCTGCTTGCCTCCAGTCCCGCAGGGGACTTGCTGGTGGCTAGCTTGGACTCCTCGGGCAGCTGTGGCTCTTGAGCCTTATGGGTCTGAATCAGCTCTGGCTGAGTCACTCTGATCAGCTGAGAACAGAACGGAAGGCTCAGGAGCCTGTGAAGGGCTGAGGACACGCCCAACGGCCTTGGCTCTGACCCATATGCTCACTCATGGGAAATCTAACAGCCAGACCAAAACCCCACTTGTACACAGGACTCCTCTTCCCATCCCCACTCCCACAGTCCCAGCTTTCCTACCGAGGCCGCAAAAGAAAGGTTGGTAAGCTGAAGCCCAGGTCCACAGTGCATGTGCCCTGGGGATCAGACAGGTGTTAACAGCACGGGGGAGTGGTGGCCAGTGGAGGCACCCACCTGCTGCAGGGCCTCCAGCACTGTCTGTCGGTTCACCTTCAGCACGTGCAGCCTGGCCTCATACTTGATCCTGCGGTCGGGCACCACTGCCATTAGGTTGAAGCGGATGTCGTGGTAGGGCTCCCTGAGGTCACAGGCACAGCCATGAGAGCGGGTCCTACCCCGTCCGCACCATCATCTTGAGACACATATCCTTGCAGGGCTCCCTGCTATCACATCTGCGCCTGGAGGTATAGGCCCCAGCCTAACAGGTGGGCAGACTGGCACACCCAAGCACCTGGTGCTGGTGCCTTCCCAAGAGCTCTGTGAGGGGTTACTTGTAGGAGACGAGCCACCCCTCCACTAACCCTCCAGGAGAAGGCCACAAAGAGCCCAGGCAGAAAATGGCAAGTGGATGGAGGTTCAAAAATCTAAGTCTGATTCTGCCAAATGCACCCAGTCACTTGCCTCCCCCAAAGGGTCAGACAGGGTCAGGCAGTCCAAGGGCCCTTACCCTGCTGTGGCGAGGCCAATACGCTCCATGATCACCCGCCGGGCCTTGTCTGTCCACTCCTCATCCTCTCCCCAGGGCCCTGGAGGAGAGCAAGACGAGGAGTCGGCAGATAGGAATCTAAGTCTAGGCAGGCCAGAGGTGTGAAAGAAGCTAGAGTTGAACCAGGGAGCCCCAAGCGGGTCAGGGAAGCCAGAGGTTGATGTTCTCAGGGCCCACTCCACCCCCTGCCAGAGGGTCCCCCATCAGTAGCTGACAGCCAGAGCCCCAGCTCCCCAAGAAGGGAAGCAGATTAACCCTGTAAACCACTGACTCCGGGTACGTACCGTGGTCAATGGGGTAGACCTTCAGTCCGTCCAACTCAAAGAGCCGGCCTGTGATGGGCACATAGCTGACAAAGTGGAACGCTTCCATGGTCCGCACGGCACTAAGGCCATTCTGTTTCTCAGGGAGGTGGCGTGGCTCAGGCCTGGGGAAGGGCACGGTCAAGACTCCACCCCCCCAGTGACACTCCCCTCCACCCCCACCCTACCATCAATGGGCTACCACAGTTCCCAACACACCTGGCATGGCTATTGTGTGCTTTGGCCAACTCTGGGGCATTGCCAATTGCATATCCTTTGCTCTAGAGGGAAGAAAACCAGGCCAGGTCAAAACTCAGGGCAGAGGGGGTATACTCCGGGTAACAGGCAAAGCTCCAGTGTGCAGGCTGGAGGGTGTGAAGAATCTGAGACAGCACAGACTGGCCTGCAGGACTAGGGGGAGTGGATGGAGCTCTGAGCCGCAAAGAGATGTCCTGTACAGGCCTTACAGAGTAAATGGGGACACAGGGGGTCACATTTGCCACCAGGGAAAGTCCCTTCCTGAACCAATTGCCTTCAACCCCTAATCTATGGATCCCATGTGACATGAATTATAGAAGAAACGGCCTGGAAGTGCCAGACAACACGTGGTGGCATGACCAGCAGCCGAGGTAGCTGTGAGCCACAGTTAAGGGTTGGGCAGCCTACCTCGGGGCTGAAGCCTTTGGTGAAGTCCTTCATGCGACTCAGAGTGGGCCCGAGGTCCACATTGCTGCAGTTCAGGAGCACGCTCAGCAGGGCGTGGGTGGCACAGGAGTTAGGGATCAACTGTGAAAGCAACAGGTGTCACCCTCTGACCGCGTGCCCCTCCACCATGCCCCAAATTCCCACAAGCCCATGCTCAAGTGGGAAAGAGGGTACAGATAGGGAGGACACCCCACATCAATGCCCCTTCCCTTCACAATACCAGCTCATTTAATGAGCGCCGGGTGCATGGGTCAAGGACAGAGAAATCCAACATACCCCTTCTCTAAAGATGCTCCTTGTATGAGTAAACAGCTCAGTTCTTTCTGCCAGGGGCTTTTGGTAACCCCCTCCCCCACCCCCAATCTGCTTCTCTCCTCTTCCTGCCTTTCCCTCCCCACCCACATCGAGCCTTCTTCTTCCCTTCTTCCCTTCTTCTTCTGCCAAGAAAATGGCAGATTCCCACTCCTGACAACCCAGAGACCAGCCAACCTGGTGGGCAAAGAACATGTTATTCACAATATCGTCGTCAATCACGGACGTGTCATCCACCAAGGTAGACACCTTGCGACGGGAGCGGCGCTCTTCGATCCATTTGAATAGGAAGATGAAACCATACACAGGGCTGGGGAGAGACAGGGTGCAGGCCGTCAACACCTTCTTTTGTTTTTGTTCTCCCTCCGTTCCTCTGCACTGTGTCCTCGCTCAGGAGCCCCTGACATGATTTTATCTGCCTCCTCCCCACACCAGGCTTTGTCCCAAAGCATCAGAAGCAGCCCTGAGCCCTCAAAACCCAGAAGCCACCACAAGTGGTGACAAATATCCATTCTGTTTGTGGTGCTCCAGGAGCCCACCCAGTCTCCCTATGAAAGCTTATGGTTCTAGAAGGGAAGAGAATATCTGGCACCCACAGCCCAAGCCACGCAAGAAGACCAGAACAAAAGCTCTGACTGAAACACATTCTCAATGTAAACCCAAGCCTGCACCCCAGTAATGCACACGCAAGGCAGCCCCTCACTGCCTAGGGAGTCACAGGGCAGAGTTCTTCATTTGGTCACTGGGCCATCCTGCAGTACCACTGTGGCAAGACCACAATAAATGGGCACCCAGAAAGGGTCTGGGACACAGCAACCCACACTTGATGCATGCAGAACACTCAGGGAGTAAAGCCACTGCACACGTGGGCATATTGTAATTAATTGGCATTCCTGGGGGAGGGGTGCTTCCCACTGCTAGGGGCTTCCGGTTGCAAGCTCTGAAAAGGCAGCTGATGGTTATCAGGGGGGCAGGGTTACTACCTGAAGGAAAACACAAAAGGAAACCGAGACAGAACAAAATAGCAACTTGATCAGAAGGCAGGCAAGGAAAGGGAGGGGGACGATGGGGCACAGGACGCTCCCGTACCCAGAGTTTAGGGATTCCTGATACTGCTTTGGGTGCAAGGGGCGCCCGGACGCCCAGCCACTCACCCCTGGCATTTGCTCTGGAGGTCATAAATCTCCTCCACCTGCACGCCTCTGACACCTTCGGTGAGAGGGGAAAAAAATTTTTTAAAAAGCAGCCTGCAAGGGCAGCCCCAGGCCCAGGAGCGAGGACGCAGGGCTGGGCCCCCCGCGCAGCCCGGATCTGGCGGCCAAGGAGAAGCTCTTACCGAAATCTTCCACCAGGAGGGTGAAGAGGCCTGGGTGGGGCGACAAGAGGAGACGGGGGCGATCAGCCAGGGGCGCCCCAAGCCCATCGGCCTCCCCACCCCAAGTCCCTGGCCCACCCGGCCCCCTCCTCACCCGGATCGCTCTCCAGCTCCAGCCAGCCCTTATTCATCTTCCCGCGGGGCGGCCCCTCAGCGCCATGTCCAGGCCCTCCCGACCCACCGCCGCCCCCGCCGGGAGCTCCCCCCCACCCCCCCGACAGCCCCCGGGGCCCCCTCGACCCCACACACACACACACACACACACACACACAGACAACCGGCCCAACACGTAACTCGCCTGCGCCGGCGCCACGACGTCACCGCAGCGCGACGGCCCCGCCCGCTTCTGGGCTTCTTTTCCGCGAGCCGGGCTGTGGCGGAGGGCGCGCGCCCAGAGACGGGCACGCATGCGCGGGGCGGGGCGCGTGGGCCGGGCGAGGAAAGGAGGAAGGAGAGGGAGGGCCGGCAGGGCGCGCGGCCGTTAGCGGTTCCTCCGGGCCGACGGTTGGCGTCGCAGCGGTCCCCGGAGGTCGCAGTCCGCGTGCCCCAGGCCACCCCCATCCCCTCCCCCTTTTAGGCAGCGCAGTCACCGCGCGGGGCGGCCGCCGTGAGGAAGCTACCACGGCTTGTGACCACGAATATCTTAAAAGCTCCCGGACAGTGGCATCCTCAGCCTACAGCTGAGTGGGCCGCCCGGGCACGGAGCGGCCGCCCGAGAGCTACCGTGAGGAAGGAGGGAGCGGCGGAGGCGACCTCCAGCCGGGCCCTGCACCACCCGTCCACCCCTCAACCCCGGCTGGCGTGACATGAGCCGGGTCGGGCATCCGCGGGATGCCCCTTGAGCCCCTTCTCCGGCTGTCAGGTCCGGGGCACACACCGACACGTATTTTCCAAATAAATATCACTGTGTATTCTGGCGGTGACGACGGCGGCGGGACCGAAGGCGCATTTATTTATCATTATTTCTCATCAAGCCTTTGTCCAGCCTATATCCAACGACACAACTTGGTAAGCGTTTTTGAGGGAACCCTCCGACCCCCCTGCCAGAGGCTTAAAGAAATGACAGACCGGCGCAGCTTTTGGAAGCCCACCTTGGCGATGTGCCTGCTCCCACGCTCTGAAGATAGTCTCATCTTATAATGACCACTGAGCACAGAATCCCACTCAAGGATGCAAGGTTTCTTTGCTATTGCTGGAGGGGTCAGGATGGCCCCAGGGCCAGGGGCGCTCTCCTGGTCCAGGCCATCCCGCGTGCTAGCATTCCGAAGCCCACAGGAGTTGTGGGAAGGGAGATGGAGCCCGGTCCCCGAGGGAGGGAGGACGGGACAGCCCGGCTTCGCTGAGCAGCCTTCTTCACCCAGAGTACTTGGAACACCCCGAGGAAAATTTGGGATCTGCAGCGAGGATCCAAGTGCTAACTTCAGTGTCGTTGGCAGAAGAGGCGGTAAAAATGTCCGTGCAGGTGATACCGAGGGCGTGTCCCCGGAGGGATCCGTGACTCTGGTGGCCTTTTAGAAAGTGTGATCCTCCTCCCTCTTCTGAATGGACCCTGACGTGCCCTTGTGGCGGCTGATTTATTTAGTCTACCCTGCACTGTCAGAGATCCTCCCTTCCCCGTGTAATGAGAACCTAACTTTGGGTCCCATTGACCTTGTTAATAAGGTGTCTGATACAAAAAAAGTTGCGTTTTGGGGATGGGAGCCCAGTGGTGCTTGCGCCTGTCCCTCGCTAGAGGGAGCTGTTGCCCCAAGCTGTCTAAAGTTCCCTGGCTCCTTTTCTGGGAAACAACCTTGTCCCTGTTCTGGGTGGAATGAAGGAGCCATAGCTGGGTGCAAAAGGAGCCCGTTTCCCCTGAGTGTTCCTTGTGAATTTATAAGGCGCAAAGAAACAAATATCCATCTGCATAATCACAGCAGTTACAGGTTTTTACGCTGCTGTGCTAGGGAGTTAGCAGTGGAGCACTGCTACCTTGGGTTAAGTTCCCATCTGTATCAGTCACTCTGACCTTGGCAAGGTGCTTACCCCACTGAGCGTCAGTCACCTCTTGGTAACAGTACCTACCACATGGAGATTGATAAACAGCACCCAGACTAGTTCTACTGTCAGCCTTGATACTGAGAGTGTTTCTTTTATTTCACTCCATAGGTTGGGAGATGAAGCGCACCATCGCCTTGACCCCATGGAACTTGATAACCAAATGTAGAATTGAATTGCTGACCAAGCCCCATTTATATTTATAGCTGGACGAGCCTATATTGTCCGCATAATCATATAGAAGAATTCAAGATAGGAGAAGCAGGCAGCAACGAATGAAGACTCTAAAAGAAAAGAAGAAGGAATGTCAAAGATTAAGGTAGAGTAGGTCACATGAGGAAAGTTGTCCGACGGCCTTGTGGCTCAGGCTGGACCTGTGGCACAGGCTGTGGTTGGGTCACGTGAAGCGCACACCAGTTGCTGTGCTCCAGAGGCTGCCCTGCTTGGTCTCCCAGGCCTGTTCCTGCCAGGAAGGTGCTGGTTCTGGAGCTTTACCTCCTGCCTACATCCACATCCCGGCTCTGCTGTTTGCTAACTGTGTGACCTGGCACACATCACCTGATTGTTTTTAATGGCTTGAGTTCTCGCCTCTGATAAATGTGCCTGGTCACAACACCCACGTTTTATTAGAGTGTCGGAGCTAATCCTCCACGTAAAGTGCTGAGAATAGCACCCCGCAGTGGGATGTGCCCAGTCATCCTTGGCTTCACTGTCGTCTGCCCTGTGAAGATGGGGCTGCCTCAGGTTCGGTGTCACTGGCAGAAGAGGCGGTAAAAATGTCCACACAGGTGACACAGGCATTGGGGGCAGAAAGTCACCATCTGGTGCCTGTTCCCAGGTAGCTCAGGACGAATGTTTCGTGCTTCAGAACATGTGAAAAGCAGCTGCTGTCTTCACCTGAGGGTGTTTTGGTATTTCGTCAGATCTGTAAATGGGCAGTCCCCAGGTTACTCAGAGTCCACCTTGTGCTTCTTTTCTCTTGTGTAGGAAGTCTGCCAAGACCAAGAGGCTAATCCAGAAGGCGTCTTCAGGGCCTGGTAAGAAAGGCTAGAAGTGACGTTCAGTTGCTGCTGCCAACCCTGGGCAGAGAAGGCCTTCCATGGGGACAGTAGACTTGCTTTCCTCGCTGTCAACCTCTCCTCCTTCCCTGATTCTCTGAGATCCAGAAGAACTCAGCATCTGTAATTTTTAAATTTCATGTTCTAAGTTCAAGAAACAAGTAATTAAAACCACTTGAGATGCGAAAAAATAGTGAGCAGTTGTACCAACTCCTCCCAGGATGACCAAAGTTACAAACAAACCTAGAGTTGGTGCCAGCTAAGGCCTCACCCCAGCCTTCATCCCTGCAATATGACGCTCTCCCCAGTGCATGTGCTCCCAGATGCGTGATGGTTTGGCTTCACTGTGGTGCAAAGGGCTTTGCATTCTGCTAAAACTGCTTCAGATTGGACCTGCTAGTCTATTGTTATGTCAGCTACTTCTTGCTTGCTATGGCTGTGTTACCAGTGGACGGTAACAGTAAACCACAGCTCCTGGTGGGTCACAAGCACAATTGCAAGGGCAAACAACCCCACTCTAGTGAGCTGTGTTGCTGCACTGTGATGTACAGCAGGTTAGGTGTGTTTAAATGCATTTTCTGAAGCTGGTATGATGGGATAATAAGGTATGGGTGAAGGTTCAAGTTCTGGTTGGTCCACTTCCAACCTAGCTTGCTGCTAATGCTCCTGGGAAAGCAGCAGCAGATGGCCCACATTCTTGGGTCCCTGCACCAAGTTGGAGACTGGGGGAAGTTGCTGGTTCCTGGCTTCAGCTCAGTTCAGCTCTGGCTGCTGGAGCCATTTGAGGAGTGAAGCAGCAGATGCTGAAAGACCTCTCTCTGCTTGTCTTTCTCTAACTCTGCTTTTCCAATAAAAATAAATCTTTAAATAAGATAAATGAAATTTCTACTTGTGATATTTCATCTTAGAGTGGATTTACCAGGACATAATCCCAGTGTAAGCTGAGGAAGACCTGTACCTCAAAAGTTGGAAGTTAACATTTTAAAAGATTTATTTATTAATTGGAAAAGCAGATTTACAGAGAGGAGAGGCAGAAAGATCTGTCCACTGCTTCATTCCCCAAGTGGCTGCAGTGGCCAGAACCGAGCCAATCTGAAGCTAGGAGCTTCTAATGGGTTTCCTATGTAGGTGCAGGGTGCCAAGGATTTGGACCATCTGCTGCTGCTTTCCCAGGCTGCAAGCCAGGTGCTGGATGGGAAGTGGAGCAGCTGGGACATGAACCGGCACCCGTGTGGGATCCTGACGCATGCAAGATGAGGATATAGCCACTGAGCCATCACTCCAGGCCCAAGGGTTATGTTTTTAATCTTACTCTTCTGTTCTTAATGATCAATTTCAGCCAGACCTGTAATATCTTCTTAAAAATTTTTTTTGTTTAAATTCAGAGTGATGGCTCTTTCCTCTGTTGGTTCACTCTCCAATTGGTGACAACAGCTGCATAGGCTGAAGCCAAGAGCATGGAATTCAATCTGGGTCTCCCATATTGGTGGCAAGAGTTCAAGTAATTTGGTCATCTTTCACTGCTTTCCTGGGACATTAGCGGGCAGCTGGATCAGAAGCAGAGCAGCTAGGACTCGGAATCAGTGTGCCAATATGGAATGTGGGTGTTGTGGGTGGAGGCTTAACAAGCTACACCACAACATCAGCCCCTTGAATGAATTATCAACATTCTCTTCCAGTTTGTCGGCTATGCCTTCGTGAACCTGGGGATCCTGAGAAGCTAGGGGAATTTCTTCAGAAAGACAATCTCAGCGTGCATTATTTCTGCCTTGTGAGTAGAAGGCCTCCTTTGCTTTGACTGTCCTGCGGCTTTTGCTGTACTGGCAGTTTCCTGTCTGTGTGTTTCACTTCAGCTCTATAGTCCAGTTTGTTTTCCCTGATAGCTTTTTTCCTTTAAAATCTTTTCTAATTTAAGTATGTGCCTGGTATAAAATTTTGACAGTATATGTATAATAAAAATTATCTTCCAAAAATAATACTTCTAATCCTCCTCCCACTCTCCAGAAAAAATGTTATCAACTTTGGGAACGTCCTTCCAATTACTTTTTTTTCAGTTTTTTTTTTTTTTTTTTAAATCAAATCTGGGTCTTCCTACCTGTGCATATTTGATTTATTTGGGAGACAGTATTATCGAGACAGAGCTCTTCTCTGCTGGTTCACTCTCCAAATGGCCCCAACAGCCAGGCTTGAGCCAGCCAAAGCCAGGAGCCTGAAGCTTCAAGTAGGTCTCCTGTGTGGGTGGCAGGGGCCCAAGCATTTGGACCAGCTTCTGCTACTGTCCTAGATGAATTAGCAGGGAGCTAGATGGGAAGTGGAGCAATCGGGACTTGAACCAGGGCTCATTTGGGATGCCAGCATCACAAAGGGTGACTTAACCTACCTGTGCGCTACAGCACTGCCCCCCCCCATAATTTTTTATTAGGTATAATCTGCCTACCATAGAATGCCACAATTTAAAATGTGCAGTTGGACACATTTTGATTATTATCTATTATATAATCACTTTCCAAGTCAAAATAATTTTCATCATTCTGGAAAGTTTCTTCTTGTCCCCTCTCATTCAGTCCTACTAGAAATAAGCACTTTGCTAATCCATAGATGGCTTTTGCCTATTTAATTTTTTAAAATTTTTATTGGAAAGGCAGAGTCCGAGAGAAGGAGAGACAGAGAAAGAGATCTTTCATTCACTGGTTTATTCCCTAGATGGTCACTAGCCGGGGCTGAGTCAGTCTGAAGCCAGGAGCTTCTTCCTAGTCTCACCAGGTGGGTGCGGGATCTAAGTATTTGGGGCATTCTCTGCTGCTTTCCCAAGGCCATCAGCAGGCAACTGGATTTTACGTGGAACAGCAGGAACTGGAACCAGCACCCATATAGGATGCTAGCACCACAGGTAGAGGCCTAGCCCTCCACGCCAGCACCCCTATTTTATTTCTTCCTGTGCTTTTTGATCTGGCTGCTTTCTTTCAACGCAAGGTTCTGGAGATCCGGGCATGCTTTTGTAGTCATATGTAACTTGCCCTTTTTTATTGCCTAGTAGTTTTCTGTTGCATGAGTGTGTTGCACTTTGCTTCTCTATACAAATGTTGATGGGCATGTGAGTCATTTCTGTTCGAGAACTGTTCTGTTGAAACTTTGTAAACATGTGTGTTCACTTGGGCACTTGCTGAGGTGTGAAATTACTGGTTGTGTGCTAACTAGATGTTTTAACTTTGCAAGTTGCCAAGTCACTTTTTGAAGTGGCTATAACAGTTTATGCTACCAAAATTTATGAAAGTTCCAACTGCATAATGCTTTTGTCAAAACTTTGTATTGTCAGTCTTTCTTTTTAGCTCTGCTGTGGGATGTGCGTTGGTCCCCCATGGTAGCTTCCACTCGCATGTTTGACTCTAGACGCGTGTGCTGTTTGGCCACTTACATACTTTCTTTCGAGGAGTATTTGTGAAAATGTTTTTGTCCATTTTGAAAAATGGGTGTTTCATCTTACTTGAGTTATAAGAATTGTTTATATATTCTGGAAACAGGCTTTTTTTTTTCCTGTGTTAAGACTATTCTCCCGGTCTGTGGTTTGCCTTTTTCTTAATGATGTCTTTTGAAGAAGCAGCTTTGGATTTTGATGTAATCCAATTGAACAACTTTTTTTCTTTCCTGATTGGTGCTTTCTATGCATTCCAAGAAATCCTTGCCAACCCACCAAAGTACCATTGTAGTCAACACAATTAGCTGGCCGTGGATCTGCACATCAGGACAGCCTATCTCTGTCACTGACTCACACGGACCCACACGGACCCACACGGACCCACACGGACCCACACTCCTGGACCCCACAGCCTCAGTTTCTGCAGCCTCACAGTGTTGTTTCCAAAAGAGTCTTGGCTATCAGATCCTTCTTTTTCTTTATAAATTTCTTGTTATACTTGTCAATTTTTCTTTTTTAAAATGTCTACTGGAATTGCTTTAAATTTATAGATCAATTTTGGAAGAACTGACAAATAATAAATCTGTCAGTTCATGAGTACATATTTTTCTCTGTTTACTTGGATCTCTTAAAATTTATCACAGCAGTATTTTTATAGTTTTAGTGAAGTAGTTTTACACATCTTTTATTAAGTATATCCTTAAATATTTTGTGGCTGTGCTATTGTAAATGATATTTTAAATTTTAATCATTAAGTTTGTTGCGGATATGCAGAAATGTAATGTATTTTTTAAAGGATTTATTATTATTATTTTTTAAAGATTTATTTATTTTTATTACAAAGTCAGATATACAGAGAGGAGGAGAGACAGAGAGGAAGATCTTCTGTCCGATGATTCACTCCCCAAGTGAGCGCAACGGCCGGTTCACGGCTGTGCCAATCCGAAGCCAGAGGCCTGTTCTGGGTCTCCCACATGGGTGCAGGGTCCCAAAGCATTGGGCTGTCCTCGACTGCTTTCCCAGGCCACAGGCAGGGAGCTGGATGGGTAGTGGGGCTGCTGGGATTAGAACCGGCGCCCATATGGGATCCTGATGCGTTCAAGGAGAGAACTTTAGCCACTAGGCCATGCTGCCAGGCCCTGTAATGTATTTTTGTGTATTGACTTTGTGACCTGTAATATCTCTTTAAATTTATTTATTGGTTTAGGTAGTTATTTTTACCTATTTTGTTTATTTGGTTATAAATGACAGTTGTACTTCTTTCCAATTTTTGCCTTTTGCTTCTCCCTCCCTGACTGTGCTTCCAGGACCGTTGCTCTCACTTTAGACTGAAGAGGATTGAGTGATTGTCCTTGTCTCCTGCCCAGTGGCAGGGGACAGCTTCCAGGTTTTTGCTGTTGAAATACAATGTCAGGTACACTCTTTTTTCACAGATCTTCCTTTCGTTAGATTGTTTTAGCTTGCTGGGAGTTTCATGAATGTAGGTTGAATTTTGTTATGGTTTTTCTGCATCTGTTGATGTAATCTTGATATTTATTTTGTTAATGTAGTTTGCTGTGTTCTTTACTATTAAACTAGTCTTGAGTACCTCCTATAAACTCCTGTTTGTCATGATGTAGTATCCTTTGTTTCTAAATTGAATTTTGCTTGATTTTTACATCTGTGCTCGTGAGAAAGTTGTTCTGTGAAAGCTTTCCTTTCTTGTAAGTTCTGCCAAGTGTCGGGACTTGCTTAATCTTGATCCATTTACATGCATATACATTTTTAACATAAGAATAAACATACTATATATCATATCTTGTATCCTGTTTTATTTGTTATCTCATAGGTTTTGGATTCTGTTGTTTTCAGTAACTGGTGTTTGATGGTATAGGGATGCTACAAAGTACGACACAGCTGTTAGAGGATGCCTGCATTGTTTCTAACCTTTCATGACTGATTGTTCTGTCTGTAGAAATGACATTCCTTACAGAAAACATGAGTAATGCTTAAAAGTGTAAAATAGGGGCCTGGTGTGATGGCTCTGGCTAAATTCTCAGCGTGCATCTGCTGGTTCATGTCCCTACTGCTCCACTTCACATCCAGCTCCCTGCTTGTGGCCTGGGAAAGCAGTGGAAGATGGCCCAAAGCTCTGGGACCCAGCTCCTGCATGGGAAACCTGGAGAGAGGTTCCTGACTCTTGGCTTGGCATTGGCTCAACTCTGCTCTGGCCATTGTGGCCACTTGGGGAGTGAAACAGCAGATGGAAGATCTCTGTCTCTCCTTTCTGTAACCCTGACTTTCCAATATAAATAAATAAATCTTTAAAAAAAAACTAAAGTCTTGAGAGAATTAGTGCTAAGAATGTATGTCATACAAGTGTTATATATATATATATATATATATATATATATATGTTTATTTTTTTTTGAAAGGCAGATTTTTTTTTTTTAAAGATTTATTTTTATTATTTTTTCATTGGAAAGGCGGATATACAGAGAGGAGAGACAGAGAGGAAGATCTTCCGTCCGATGATTCACTCCCCAAGTGAGCGCAACGGGCCGATGCTATGCCGATCCGAAGCCAGGAGCCTCTTCCGGGTCTCCCACGCGGGTGCAGGGTCCCAAAGCTTTGGGCCGTCCTCGACTGCTTTCCCAGGCCACAGGCAGGGAGCTGGAAGGGAAGCGGGGCTGCCGGGATTAGAACCGGCGCCCATATGGGATCCCGGGGGTGCAAGGCGAGGACCTTTAACCACTTGCGCCACCGCGCCGGGCCCGAAAGGCAGATTTTTATAGAGAGAAAGATCTTCCCTCTGCTAATGGCCAGAGCTGAGCTGATCTGGTCAAGAGGCAGAAGCTTCTTCCAGGTGTCCCACATAGGTGCAGGGCCCCAAGGTCATGAGCCATCATCTGCTACTTTCTTTGGCCATAAGCAGGGAGCTGGATAGGAGGTAGAGCAGCTGGGACATGAACTGACATCCATAGGGGATGCTGGTGCTGCATGTAGGGGATTATCTTGCTATGTCACTGTCATTGATGTTTTACATATGGGTGGGAATTATCCCAGTGCCCTTGAGTCTAACCTTGTAGGATCGCTTTCTCTACAGGAAATAACTGGAGCTCTGGTTACACGGTTCACACAGCTACTGCTGGCAGTCCCGACCTTCTGCATTATTTGTAGATGATTCCAGGAGCTGGGAGTGGGGTGTTGAGATTCTTCCAGTACATGTAACAGAATATTTTGGCTTTTTTTTTAGTCTGAGTTTCTCATTCCTGATTATGCTTTTAGAGCATTTCAGAAAATAAGAAAAAAAATGTGCCTTTGAAAGGAATGTGCAATCCCTTTCCCTCCCCCCTCAAGGCAGGAAGACTGTAGTCAGGGGCATGGGAAGCCCAGGACTCCGAGAAGTGGGTTTCTTGGCAAAGTGTGGTAAGCATGTGAGCACCGCAGACCTGGATATGAGTGCCAGCTTGGCTCCTCCTTGCTGCATGAGCCCAGCCAGTCCACCATAATGCGCATCAGCCGGCCCCCTCTGACAGATGAACGAGACAGCACCTGTAACTCAGCGTCATGAGCCAACACTAGAGGCATGCTACCCTGAAGCACTCAGCAGTCGGTGAATGAGAGGTGACGGAGCCCGGAAGCCAGAGTTCAGGTTCGGCAGTACTGTGACTTTCAGTAGGTCTTGCCATGAGATGAAGAGAGTGCTACCTGCCTCCTGGGGTTGTTAGTGAGGATTCACTGAGTTAATACTGAAAAGGGCTGGGGTCTACCCTGTGGCAAAAGGGGTCAAGCCACCATCTATAGTGCCAGCAACCCATGCAGGTTTGCATTCCACATGCTCTACTTCTGAACCAACTCCATACCAATGTTCCTGGGAAGGCAGCAGAGGATGACAAGTGCTTGGGTCCCTGTACCCACATGGGAGACCGGAGGAGTCTGTTGGCTCCTGGCTTTGGCCTGACCTAGCCCTGGCCATGGCAACCATTTGGAGAGTGAAACAGCACATAGATCTCTGTGTGTGGATGTCCCCCTATTTCTGACTTTGAAATAAATGAATCTTTTCTTTTGTAAAATGCTTTGAGTACCCAATAGAGTGTCACAAAAGCCTTTATTATTAAATAAATTGCCCAGTGAATGGAAATGAGTAGACTCCACCAGCTGTGTCCCTTAGCCTTGCCCACCATGCCAGTTGACCACTTCTTGGTGTTGACCCCTGATTCTGCCCCACCCCTCAGATTCTGTCTAGCAAGCTGCCTCAGAGGGGCCAGTCCAACAGAGGTTTCCACGGATTCCTGCCTGAAGATATCAAGAAAGAGGCCATCCGGGCTTCTAAGAAGGTCAGAGGACCTGACGTGGGCACCTCGGCTTGGGGTAGGCCTCTTGTCAAATCCCTGCCAAACGCCCTGCTTCTGTTCTCCTTGGCTGTCATTTTTGAGGTCAGAGGACTCAGGTTTCCCAATGGGTCCCCCTCTTCAGTCCTCTCTGACGTGTCCCATGTGAGGAGAGGGTGATCCCAGCCAGCCAAGTGTCACCATCCCAAGTGGCTTCAGGTTGCCCTGCAGTTGTCCACATCACTGAGGATGGCTGTTGCTTTAGAGAATGTCCGCTCTGCAGAAAGATGTGCCCCGGGGTGGGTGGGTTGGGGAGGGGGTGTGTGAATGTATGTATGTCTATCCCAAGGCACAAGTGCTGTCTGGGATCTCGTTGGCAGGTCTGCTTTGTGTGCAAGAAGAAGGGAGCAGCCATCCACTGCCAGAAGGAGCAGTGTGCCAGAAACTTCCACCTGCCTTGTGGCCGAGAAAGGGGGTGCCTTTCGCAGTTTTTTGGAGAATACAAGTGAGTGGGGAAAGGGGGAGAAGAAGTGGGGAAAGTGGGGAAAGGGACCTGCTGTCATAGGCCCCTTAGCCCTGGAAGGCAGCGGAGCCTGATCCTCCCAGGACCTGCTCTGATGTAAATGTGTCCCTCTGTACAGTAACGAGAAACACTGCCTGGACTTGGCTATTCACAGGCATTTCTTCTTGCTTCCCATCAGCCCCGCCTAAAATTACAACCAGCTGCGCAGAGCTAAGTGGGGCTTCAGGAGCAGGGGGCTGTGGGGACAGTCCCTGGGGATTGAATGGTCGTGAGAAGGCATGTGGCTGTCCCCGCCTGCCTGGCTGTTGGCCCTCCCAAGGCTATGTGAACAACAAGCCAGAAACCAGATGTGTTTTTTTACCCTGCCGCAGATCATTTTGTGGAAAACATCGTCCAACACAGAACGTCCATCAGGAGGACCTGGGGGAGGAGAGCTGTGTGTTGTGTTGTGAAGATTTATCCCAGACAAGCGTTGAGAACATCCAGAGCCCGTGCTGCAGTCAAGCTGTCTACCACCGCAAGTGCATCCAGGTGGGGCTGTCTCAGCCTGCCTGGCACTGCTCGGACACAGCACAGCTTCCGCACTCCTTGCTGGAGAGGCCTTTGGGGCGGGGCAGGCTATGGGCAGTTAAAACAAAGTCGGTCCATCCTGGGTCTGTAAGAGCTCATTCCAACACATATAGACTGAACCAAATCCGCAATATTGCTAGAATGAAAGGACCTGCCATAGGCCAAGGAACTGCAATCACCCTGACTTCCTGAATGAACAAAAAGGGAGATAAACCTGTCTGTAGGTCCCTGATCCCTGCTTGGCCCTGCCAAACGCCATGGCCAGAGAGGATGGTCAAATGAGGCATGCCGGGCACTTGCTTGCTAGTCTTAGGGTCCCAGGTCTGAGTAGAGGATTTGCAGCTCTCCCCCGAGCCCACCCCAGCTCCTCCTCCTGGAACACTCAACAACGTCTACTTTCCGGAGGGAGGGTGGGAGTAGTTTCAGCAAGCCCAGAGGTCTTCCATGTTTTTCTTACAGAAATACGCCCACACCTCCGCAAAACATTTCTTCAAATGTCCACAGTGTAATAACCGGGAAGAGTTCCCTCAAGAAATGCTGAGGATGGGAATTCATATTCCAGACAGGTAGCCTGCACTCTGCAACAGGGCTGCAGTGTGAGGGAAGCCCAGAGGCCCGGGACGGCTGAGGCCTGCTGTGCAGTGAAAGCCGCCCAGGCAGCGGGCCGAGGGAGTGCTTGTAATTAGTGGGAGGAAGAGCAGGTGGGCAAGAGGCGTGTGTCCGAGATGGGCATTCCCCTGGAGTGTGGGCTCTTGAACTCTGGAACTAAGCAGCCACACACACACACACACACACACCACATTCCCCCCGACAGACTGCCACACTTAGCATTCTTGCCAGTTCCTCCCAGGCCAACTTGAGGCTTCAGCAACCAGCCTTTTGTTCCTTACTTGCTGTTTCCCATCCCAATGTAGAGATGCCGCCTGGGAGCTGGAGCCAGGGGCCTTCTCCGAGTTGTATCAGCGCTATCAGCATTGCGATGCCCCCATCTGTCTGTACGAAGGAGGCCGAGACAGCTTTGAGGAGGAAGGGTAGGGAGAAAGGTCCCTGGCCAGGCGGGCTCCCCTCCATGTCCACTTGAAGTTAAGCCTTGGCACAGCCATCATCGACAAGACACTGCCTCTAGTCTGCACAGCTTGGGGTGTACCTCGTTGGCTAAGTCCCACCTTACCCACCCAAAGTGCGTGTGCAAGACAACAGTGCTTAGTGGAGAGAGGCCCAAGTCCTGATTTCCACATCTGCCTTGCAAAGGGCTGGACCTGATCCTAGGATCTCACCTTCTTGCTGTGGGACGGATAACTGAGAGTGTTCTGCTTGTCCTCACATCCTCTCCTCTGCTCTCCCTGTAGGCGGTGGCATCTTCTTCTGTGTGCTACGTGCGGATCCCACGGGACCCACAGGGGCTGCTCCGCCCTCAGATCCAACAGCAAGAAATGGGAGTGTGCAGAATGTTCAGCTGCTTTAGGCACAGGTGAGAAGGCGAGGTGCTCTGGCCTGAGAACTAGAGTGTGGGTGAGGGCAGCTGTGTCCCCTGGGGAGGCAGGAGGCATGCCAGAGTAGGGGCAGCATTCATTAGCACCCTTAGCTTTTGAAGGACAGTGGCCATGGAAGAGCATAGTGACCTGCACTGGGAGGAGTGGAAGGGTGAGTTCTGACTCCACCCCGACCGCTGCCTTTCTTTCCCCACAGACTGCACACCTGAGAACTCGGGTGACGCCCCCTGCTGCAGCAGCACCTGCCAGCCAGCTGAACCCATCTACAGAGACAGCCTGGACGAGAGGCCAGGCCCCTCCTGGACTCAGTGGCCAGGGCCTTCCCTGTTAGAAAAGCCGGAGTCAGGTGGCAGGAGGAGGCCCAAGGGTGTTAAAGTCACCAAGAGTGGCAGAAAGTCTAAGTAACAGCTCTGAGTGGCTGTTACCAAGTCTGCTGTGGGGATGTAACTCTACTTCTGCATTGGGCCTTGGGGAGGGGCACCGGGGAACTGTGAGCCCAGGGAAGGGGGCAGGTCATCCAGCCTGGGAAGCATGAGGAGCAAGAAACAGGTAGAGATGCCCTGGCGGGCCACGTTTTGGGCCCTAAGCCCTGTCACTCTTCCTTACTCAGACGCCTCTGTCAGAACCTGCCTCCTACTTAACGCACATTTGTTATTCTGCAAATAAAGCTTTTCTCTCCTTTGGTGTCTCCTTACAAACTTACTCTGAAGTTTGTTTAGTGGTCTAAAGAACCTGGAGGGTACAACTCTTACCTTCTGCCCCATGAAGTGAGGTAGGATTCTGAGCTAAAACACCAATGGGCTCCCTGGATGGTGTGTGTGTGTGTGTGTGTGTGTGTGTATTCCATTTGCAGGGGAAGTGGTATTTCAGAGACAAAGATTTTCATCGTGCAAATATATACAGCAGTGAATGGGCCCTTGCCATGAGGCATGAGGCCCTGAACTCTACCAGGGCAGCAGGGACCTGCTGTGTTGTAGGCTGAGCTGTGGGCCCCAGCAAGCCTGCACTGCCTGGGGACCTGAGCGTCTCCATTCAGAGCAGACCTTTGCATTTGCATGGCAGGAAACTCCTGTGAGGAAGGCAGTTGCAGTAGCAGGCTGGCCAAAGGCCTAGGGAGACACTAAATGGAGCCTGTCCTAACGTTTGTGGGTTTTCTGTCACTTCACAGGAATTGGTTTAATGGGAAGTTGGACCCATTGTCACAAATGGTGGAGGCCAGTGTTGTCCCTGCAGACTTAACTCACAGAATGTCTTCTGCAATTGGATTTGACCATGTCTGCCAGGCATCAAGCAGGGAGTGTTTGTGTCTGTTGCTGTTGCTAAAGCAGATGAGCAAAGTAGCACACACTTCCGAAAGTCTAATAGTACCAAAGGGCTGACACTAAAGACCAGCCTTGGTGTACCCTCCCCTGCTTCTAGGCCTGGTCCCTAAGAATGTCTACTTTGTGTTTCCTTTAGACATGTGTTGATTTGCTCACCTTTGGTGATGTTGCCTATGATGTTATAAAAAATTAAGCACCTTTAGAATCTCCCCATTTCATTCTCACCATCATATGTTTACATCAGAGTGTTTCTGAACTTGCAGTGTTTGCATTGCCACAACTATGAGAATGCTGTCCGCCGTGATTGCAATTGCCCCTCACACCAGTTGTTTTTTTTTTTTCCCTGAGTTACTAACTGCTGCTTTCTTTGCTCTGTACCTATAGGTTTTTCCCCATTGTTGCAATGACCATGAAACAACCTCACAAGCCTGGCATTGGGTCACCATCAGCTGCCGCCCTCCCAGTTCCCACTGCTGAGCTGGCTTGCCCTTGGCCTCCCGCACACGGGTCATCACGACTGTGCTCTGGTTCTTCATGGGTTTGACAACTCCCTGCTGTACTCCCTTACCTGCACATCTAAGGAGATTTTGTAAGAGCTCTGCAAGTACCAAGAAACATTTCAAATTTGTCAACTATTGTACTGATAATTCTCAACTGGAAGGTCCTTCCTAGATTGAAACTTCAGTTCTTTTTAAACAAAAAAATGTTGAGAGCAGATGTACAGAGAGAGGAGAGACATCTGCTGCTTTGTTCCCCAAATGGCTGCAAAGGTCAGGGCTGGGCAAGCCCAGAGCCAAGAGCCAACAGCTTCTTCCTGGTCTACCACATGGGTGCAGGGTCCCAAGGCTTTGGGCCATCCTCGACTGCTTTCCCAGGCCACAAGCAGGGCCGCCAGGATTAGAACCAGCACCCATATGGGATCCTGGCACATGCAAGGCGAAGACTTTAAACACTACACTATCGTGCTGGACCAGATTTTTTTTTAAAGATTTATTTGTATTAGAAAGTCAGATATACAGAGAGGAGGAAAGACAGAGAGAAAGATCTTTCATCTGCTGATTCACTCCCCGAGTGGCCACAATGGCCGGAACTGAGCTGATCCGAAGCCAGGAGCCAAGAGCGGCCTCCAAGTCTCATGCAGGTGCAAAGCTGTCCTCAACTGCTTCCCTGACCACAGGCAGGGAGCTGGATGGGAAGCGAGGCTGCTGTGGTTAGAAACAGCGCCTTTACAGGATCCTGGTGCATGCAAGGCGAGGATTTTAGCTGCTAGGCTACTGCACTGAGCCCTAAAGAAGGATTTTTTAAAGAATTTCCCTGACCAGACATATCCTCAGGCATTTGTGAATATATCTTTTTTTTTCATAGTAGTCTATTATTTAAGAGCAAGCAACAAATCCCATTTTTTCCCAAAAGGCATGGCCTCTAACGTTGCTCTCTAGCTAAGGTGTCAGTGGAGGGTGGAGCTGGTGACAGAGTGTCACCAGGCATTGAGCACCTGCTGGCCAGCAACACAGGGAGTGCGGACACACACAGCCCTGCCATCTCTCACACTACATCATTTTACTTTCCATGGGTGCTAATGGCCAACTCCACTTTCTTGGAAAGTAGAAAACCTGAACTGGAACAGTTCCTTCTCCTTGTGGGCCTACATAACCATTCTCTACTAAATAACTGGGTTCATCTTCGATAAACTTTCCATTTAAACCATCATTGACTGACAGAAAAAGTATAGGGCCCAGCATGATGGCTCAATTGGCTAATCCTTCCCTTGCAAGTGCTGGGATCCCATATGGGCACCTGTTATGTCCTGGCTGCTCCACTTCTCATCCAGCTCCCTGCTTGTGACCTGGGAAAGCAGTTGAGGACAGCCCAAAGCCTTGGGACCCTGCACCCGTGTGGGAGACCCGGAAGAAGTTCCTGGATCCTGGCTTTGGATCGGCATAGCCTCAGCCGTTGTGCTCACTTGGGGAGTGAATCATCGGACAGAAGATCTTCCTCTCTGTCTCTCCTCCTCTCTGTATATCTGACTTTCCAATAAATAATAAATAAATCTTAAAAAAAAAAAAAAAAGGTTATAACAGCTGAGGCTGAACCAGGCTGAAGCCAGGAACCTACAACTCCATCCAGGACTCCCGTGTGAGTGACAGCCCAAGTGCTTGGGCTATCATCTCTGCCTTCACAAGCAAATCAGCAGGAATGTTAGATAGGAAGTAGAACAGTTGGGACTTGAACCAGTGCTCATACAGAATATTGGTATTGCAGATGGTGGCTCATGTCACTGCACCACACCAGCCTGTTGCATTCTTAACTCACCAGCACTCACACTGTGTCAGATTTTCTTGGTTTTCACTTGTTGTCTCTTGTTCCAGGATACCACACGGAGTCCTGTCATCCCACTCTTGGCTGTGACTGTCAGACGTCCCTCGCTAGTGATGACCTGGAACGTTTTGAGGAAAACTGGTGAGGTATTATGCTCACAATCAGTCCAGGCCATTAGGGTTTGAGGGAGAAAGATTGTGCAGGTAAAATGCAGTCTTTGGCACAACACACGGAAACCACAAAGCTGTGAACACAGCCACCACTGCTGACCGCTCTCATCATCCCGCTGCAGACTTTCTTCCCAGTAGAATGACTTCCTGTCTCTCCTAAGCTGTACCTTCTCGGACGAAGTCACCCCTGCTCAGTCCATAAAGCACCTTTCTCCCTTCCTCTAATCCATACCTTTACAGGGAGATCATAAGTGCCAGAGCTCCCCTCTGCTTCGCCTTCTGCTCAGCTGCCCTCTTGCTTGTCCAGGGCACTGTTACATGTAGACATTTGCCTGTTTATCCCTCTCACCACCAGGGCTCAGCTCAGACCCCCATGCCTCCCAGCACTGCAGCAAATTTCTCCTAACAGCTGCCACCAGCTCCCATCAGTCAGCGGCCAGCGCTTTGCTTTAGACAGCCTTGCTGCACTGGCCCCTAGGACCTTCCACAAATATAGCCCCACCCCACTGCACCGGCCAGGCTACACCTCCCGTTGGCCCTCTGCCCCAGGCTCCCCAGGGAACTCTGTGTCTGGGAGCCCTGACCCTCTGCAGTTCTTAGTTCATGGAACCCAGCCATGAGAGTAGCTTCTTCAGGCCTGGCCACTCTTCTCTGGCCACTGCTTGTACCCTGTCTGGCCCATGGCCTTTTGTCTGACTTGCAGTTTTACATCTGTCCCTCTGCCTAGATTGGAAGCCCCTGACAGGCTGGCTGCCTTATTTGCCTTTTTTCCCATTCTGATGCTGGTCCAGAAACTCACCTTCAGTGACCATTTGACCTCTGTTGCCTCCATGGATATGTTCTAACATATTCCCAAGCCTGTTGTTTTGCTGCTGAACACCAGAGGGCACTGTGAGTGTGGTGACCAACGTGGTAACCTGTTGACTGGGAAGATTCAATGTGGTTTAACCAACAGCTGGCTGCTGTCTTTTGCGGGACTTCATGCTCCTCACTTGTTCTGTCCACATCCACTGAGTTCGTTCCATCAGGCGTGTTCTTGCTGTATTTAGGGATAAGCATAAATGCTACTGGACTCCCCAGCACAAGTGCACCCTCACTCAGCCTGCCCCCAGAGGCTCTCACTAAGGACCCACGCAGCCCTTCTCTCCCTGGCTACTCTGCCCTCTACCCAACATGGTGGCTGCCAGTTCCTAGGGTATGTATGATATGACTCTTCCCCTTCTTTTATTGTTATTATTAGTATTTTATTGGAAAGTCAGATACAGAGAGAGGAGGAGAGACAGAGAGGAAGATCTTCCATCTAATGATTCACTACCCAAGTGACCACAATAACTGGAGCTGAGCTGATCCAAAGCCAGTAGCCAGGAATCATGAACCTTTCCTGGGTCTCCCACGCAGGTAAGAGTCCGAAGGCTTTGGGTCGTCTCAACTGTTTTCCTAGGCCACAGCAGGGAGCTGGATGGGAAGCAGGGCTGCCAGAATTAGAACAAGCATCCGTATGCTGCCTTCCAGGTGAAGCTGGATCAGAAGTCTGGAGTGGCTGGGACTCAAATCAGCACTCTGACATGGAATAAAGGCTAAATCCCAAATGGTGCTAAATTGCTAAACCCTCCATACAACAACACCTACCCTGCTGTTATTCTGTCTTTTTTTTTTTTTTTTCACAAAAAGATATTATTTGGCACTGGCACCACAACCTAGTGAGTAAAGCTGCTATGTGCCACACCAGCACTTCATATGGGTGCCAGTTCATGTCCTGGCCATTCCGCTTCTGATTCAGCTCCCTGGTAATGTGCTTGGGAAAGCAGCAGAAGGTGGCCCAAGTACTTGGGTCCCTCAACCCACATGGGAGACCCAGAAGAAGCTCCTGGCTCCTGACTTTGGACCCACCAGCTCCTGCTGTTTCAGCTATTTAGGGACTGAACCAGCAGATGAAGGATTCTCTCACTTACCCCCTTTCAAATAAATACATAAATCTCTTCTTTTAAAAAATATTATTTTTATTTTTCCTGAAAAGCAGACAGAAGGGAGAAAGCTTCCATTTGCTTGTTCACTCACCAA